GACAGATGTTGGAAAATATGATACTCACAGGAAAGATTGTAGGCAAGAGGAACAGAGGAAAACAACGCAGAGCCAGCTTGAGTATGGCGGAACAAGTTTTAGGAGATACATTTATTAAGAGCTACAAGGAAAAGGAAGTTGTGGAGAGCCTTGATCTCTTACCTTCTGAGAAACAGAAAATATTATTAAGAAGTCAGAAATATTTGAAGATCAAAGTTGACATCAAAGAAATAAACCAGATGTGATAAGTGCGAAGGAAGAAACTATCAACATAGAATTTACGGTTTCACTAAGCTTTTTCATGATGATGCCAAGTCGCCAATCTAGTTCTGCGACTAAATTCGTAAGATCTAGTTACTAAAAAGAAAAAATTACTATGAAAATGTTTGTCGAAAATACGCAGATAAGCAACGTTACAGTCGTAGAAAAGTGAGTGAAGGCGAGATGATAGGTTATGAAAATTAACATAGCAGATTATTTTTATCAAGAATCTGTAACAAAAAAAATACATACCAGAGGCATTAGACTTGATGTGACAGCAATATTTATCGCATAGACGAATAGTAGACTTATAAATGTACATATTCTAGGAGATAACGATTTTTTTAAAATTATTTATCGGGCATACTTTATGACCTTTAACGTTATTTTTAGTGGTTATTCTTATTTGAATAGACGATGCTTTTATTTACTAAACAGTATTTCAACAGTGAGTAAAAATTATCTGTAAATTTAAAACAACTGTTTTTCATTCTAGGATGTGCGGTCTAATGAAACAGGTAAAAACATACATCTGGGGAAATAAATTATAACCAATGGACCCTTAAGGTTGTCTGTTTTCTATTTAAATTAATAATTGCCCTGATTTGACATTGAGCTAACAAGGATTATAAACTCTTTGGGATTATCCATACGGATTACCAAATTTTTTATTATTTAATAATAATAATAATAATAATATATATATATATATATATATATATATATATATATATATATATATATATATATATATATGCAACATTTTTATATATTATATATATAATATATATGCGCAGTACTTATTGGAAAGCGCTCAAAATCATTGATAGAGCTAGCATATTTATTTGATTGATGTGAGTTTGCGATCCTCAGATAAACATTTTTGCGATCGTCAGAAAACATTTGCCTCAGGATCACAAACTACATCAATGAAACTATATATATATATATATATATATATATATATATATATATATATATATATATATATATGTGTGTGTGTGTGTGTGTGTGTGTGTGTGTGTGTGTGTGTGTGTGTGTGTGCATGTGTGTGTGTGTGTGTGTATGTTTGTGTGTCTCTGTGTGTGTGTGTGCATGTGTGTATGTGTGTGTGTGTGTGTGTGTGTATGCTTGTGTGTCTCTGTGTGTGTATCCCTCTCTGCGTGTGCATATGTGTGTGTGTGTGTGTGTGTGTGTGTGTGTGTGTGTGTGTGTGTGTGTGTGTGTGTGTGTGTGTGGAATGACTTTGTATACTGATGCTTTTCTACGTTTTTTTTACATGGTAGGTAAACCATCCAAATTGTTTTTCTCTTCATGCTGAAAAACTCACGGGACTTGGCAAACATAATCAAATGGCGGAACTCTATGACACCCAAAACGTGCCTGCGTAAATTTTCCATTCCTTCTGTAACTCAATCCCCAAATTGCATTTAGAACTGTCCCTTCTTCTTTTGCGACTTCACTTCAATTATGTTCTTAAATAGCCTCGTCAGATCGTGAACCTATGGATGTGATGCATGGCGCCAATCCCGTTCAAAAATGTCTAAACTTCCAATTGTATACAACGGCTGTATCAAATAATTGGGTAAATATAGCTTTGAGCGATGAAGCTTTGGACTTGTTGAAGACCACCCTCCTTTGAATCTTGTGGACTGACGCTACAGAAGGAGAAAAAAAAAACAGTACCAAATATACCAGAACTGTACCATATGGATTCAGGTCGCTCAACATCAATATCAGCTAAAATGAATATCCCTTGTTATTTGACGAGAAAATACGTAAATAATCAAGATATTGACATTTCACTCTACTTCAAATAAAAGGGTAGGATGGAAAACTGTAATACTACTGGAAAGAGCGATAACAGTTACTGGAAGTGAAATATTTTAAGATCCTATGTAACAGTAGTACAAGCTTCTCTGTCAATGGATGCCGAATGTTTCCTTAAAAGGAAACAGCTAATATTACTATTACCATTACTTTTGTCCCACTAATTCTTGTAGAGATTTTTCAGTGTCTACTAATGATGGTAGAAAAGGAAAGCCCGAAGAAATGCCTAAACATCAATTTAAATATTTGGGTGAGGTTTTAATGGAGGACGACAACTTCAACACTGAAAATTGAAGGTGCATTGGGATAGATAAAGATGTCTTCTAAAAGCTAAGAATAATATTAATAAACACGAAAATTTCGTGAGAACAAAAGGAAAGAGTAATGGAGTGTTATATAATAGCAGGCATCCTATATGGCAGTGAATGTAAGACAATCTCCTCTGACTTGAAGCGATAGAAATGTCGTTTTTGAGAAGTGTGCTCAGAATATAATAGGCTGAAAATGCGAGTACTGAGGAAGTTTTGGATAGATTGAAAAGAAAACAGACACTTATACTTAACATCAGAAAAAGACAGTTGAAATTGATAGTGAGCATAATGACGAAAGTGGGCTTCATACTCACAGGATTAACGTCAAAAGCAAGTAAGGACACCAAACGTTTAAACTAAAAGGTATGACACACCATGTTTAAGGAGAGATAACAAAAAGACAAAATTAAGAGCCACAAAGTTATGAAATTATGGAGAGCTGTGATCTCGTACGTTCTGAAGGAACACAGCAAATAGGAAAAGTTCAGTCTTAGAGTAGTCGACAATAATTGAGATTCACCAAATATCGCAGAGGAAAATTTAGTGGTGTATATAATATGATGTCTATCAATTAAAATTCGACTATTTAAAATTAGAGTTAATATTGCTGCAACGTTTCCTGCGACAATAGTCTTCATTCTGTAACAGTTCTCATTTACTAACATTATTCAATTTAATTTAGCATTTTTTATGATTCAAAACAATCAGTGAAATATTCTAAAATGATCAAATGTTACAACTATTAAATATGAATTGTTTATTAATATAGTGTCGATATTCCAGTGTAAAATAGTTGGTCATATTTACCCAGTAGTTATGATTCGCTCTTATCAATGGATTGCTTTATCCGCGCAAATTCAAATCTGGTGCTTAGAATGTTTTATGTTTATTTCGGTATACACACACACACACACACACACACATATATATATATATATATATATATATATATATATATATATATATATATATATATATATATATACATTTACTACAAACTGATACCATAAACAGTTTTAAAAATCCTGCGAATCTTAAAATTAAAATTCGTAGGGGAAAATGGTAATTTACTAAACGTATCTTAATTCCAATTCTAAAGTATATATATATATATATATATATATATATATATATATATATATATATATAATAAACACAGTTTTAAGGTATATATATTTATGGGTTAAAGTGCTCACTATCAAGAACAGAGTGTATGTTTCAATGTTCACATATATTAAAAACTTAGCCATGTACATAATTTTAGACAGATATTAGCTGACAGCACAATAATACTCACACATACGCACGGTAAAAAGAACCTTCAGGTAATGCAGCCCACTTCATTAAAACAAAGCAACCCACACTCAGCAAAATTACATTTCGAACTAGACACAACAGATTACATTGCATCTAGACATATGATTCTGTTGTTAATATTTTGGCCTCACGCGTGGTATGACTTCATAGAATCGCATCTTGAACTTACGAAATGCGACTGCTATTCCGAGACCGTTATCGTCGCATAACAATCTTCTACGTTAACTTAAGAAAATATTCGATGGTGAATATCTTTGTTAAAACTTCCATATAACTAATCTGAAGATGGCTTATGTGAGCCAAAAGCTTAGATCATGGACCAACTTAATAAAAATTTGTCCAAATGTTGGACGATTTTTTCTTTATTTTCATCCGAAATTAAAGCAACGTATGAAAATTATAACGGCTCATGACTTCCAAGTAAAGTCTGGTGATCCGCAGTCCTTTTAAAAGGGCTGTGGTGGAATAATTTATTACATGGAACATTAAAGTGGTCTGTTTTTATTTAAATTATATAGCTGTTACCATGGAAATTTTGATTTCAATTATTAAAACACGTAAATTTCAGAAATAAGTTATTTCAAAAAAAGATTTCGCTTGAAGATGGAACAGAGCTTACTTTAACTCAATTTAATTCAAATAATTATATTGAAGTTTTCGGCTCTTCTTTTGAAACATGAGACCTCTTATGTCGCGAGTTGGAATCATATTTTTAAATAAATAATTATATATATATATATATATATATATATATATATATATATACTTGATAGATTTACGTAGATTATAGTTGAAAATATGAAATATATGAACTCGTCTCATGTTAGTGACCGCCTTTAATACATTTATTAATGATACAAACTTTCAGTCTTTAGCTAATGTCTAATATACGTTCATTTTGTTAAAATCCAATGATACCATTGTGCCTTAACTTTAAATATGATGCGTTTTTTATATTTAATGTTTTAGTATTTTCTTCGTAGTCACGTGAACACTATTTTAGCGTTTAATTTAAATGATTTGATGTGATATTCATTTGGCATCATAAAGATACTCAGATTTAAATGCAGTTTGATCACGCCTTCCTAAAATTTAAATGCATTTTAGAACGCTTCTTAACAAAGGTTAAATGAATTTTTGCTTGCAATTTAATGATTTTGTTTCTTGACAAGTATCATTGTATTAAAAATAATGTACCGTATTTCTTGGTTAATTACATATATTGAGTTTTTTCTCTTTTACCAGAAATGTGTTCGGTTTTATTACCTATATATAATGTTAATGCTCTCTCTCTCTCTCTCTCTCTCTCTCTCTCTCTCTCATGTTGAATAGACCATGTGCCTTGACATCCACTTGATAACACGAAAAGAATCAATCTAGATTTATCCCGCTTAGTTTAATATAAATATGTAGAAATAAGTCCTGATGAGCTATAAATATGAAATCCTACCATATCAGTATAAGATTTTGTAAACAACCGAAACAGATGTTTTGTATCGTCTCTGGAAAAAAAGCTGTAAATACATCGTAGAGCTTATGGATTATTTTAGATCATATAATTTCTAGATTACTTGCACAAATTCCATAGAATTAATTTATTTAATATATTTTTTTCGTAGATTAATTGACAAAGCTTTTGTTTGTATTTTTAATTTTTATAGTAATGATATAATAAAATGACAATAATCTTTGACAGTCTCCATATTACTGGAATGCTCCATGTATGAAAAAAGTACTTTTTACCATACTTTTCTGTGTGACATATTGATTGAGTAATTTATAGTTGCATAAAATAGCATAATATTTAAATCTGAACATGCTATTGGTAAGCTAAACCTTTTCCTATATATATATATATATATATATATATATATATATATATATATATATATATATAAAATCATAAAATTTTCCAAACATAGCACTAGAAAGTTCAAAATCTTAATTGCAACGTTGATCACTATATACACTCTTCCTCAACCTAGTTCATTTATTGTCGTTTTTTCTCAATAACCTTTTCTCATTTTATTTGACTCTTAGTTTGTCCTGGGTATGACGATAAACTACATCCGGTCGCAAGGCCCCTGGTCAGGAGATTGGAGGTTTCGAGGAGCGTGGAGCCACTTCTCAATTACTTTTTTTCCTAGCTCCAATGATCTGTGGTTGTAGCACCTGTTAGGGTCTCAGCTTTGGGCAAATACTGATGTCCCAAAGAAAAAAAAAAACAGTATAAATGTATAAAAATACTTTCCTATAGTAAAAATACCAACAATACAATTTTTATGTTTAAAAAATGAACAACAGTACCTATTTATAGTAAAATTACCAACAGTACAACAATCAACATGAAAGAACGATTTCATGGCAGTAATCTATAAGATATCCTAAAATCGCCTAAATCAATCTTTATCCCAAGATATGGAACAAAACTACAAGAAAATACTGATGGGAGTATATAATGTATATATAATTTTAAACGTATTAATATAATTGTGTATTGAACATGTATATTAGAATGTAAATTTTCAATGCAATTGTAAACTTGCTAAGATACAATCGTCCTCGATTAAAAAGACGACAGCCATTCCAATGATGGACAGAAATGTTCATTAGCTGTCCTTAAAGAAATGAGGATACAGTTGTAAAATGTTGCACGTATTAATTGAAACTATTTTTATTAATAATTGAATTGTTTAATCCCAAGTAAACTGAAATCTGACTTCAAACGTACCTAGAAGCGACTGCTCCTAAAACTAAAAAGAAAAAAAACGGCACCCTGGTGTTATCAAGTACCTATAGAAAAGGGTTTAGCCGCCAAGGACATTTATGCTGATATGATTGTTCCATTAGGGGATGACGCTACAGATCTATTAACCATGCAAAAGTAGGCTGCTAAATTTAGAAGGGGAAAGGAGAGTGTTTAAGATGGCACAATGTCTGGTCGTCCTGCAAATTCCATCATCGAGGAAAACATTGATTCTTTTTCGCTACATGGTGACGGATATTATGCAATTGACTATCCAATCAAATAGCTTGTTATTTTCATATTCAGTGAGAATGTTGAGAATATACTGCAGAGTGAAATTGCATTGACGAAGGTTTCTGGCACGTCTTTTGACATCTGATCAAAAGCGAACAATCTGATCAAATCACGAGTAAATCTGGCATTGTTTGAGGCAGAAGAGTTTGGTTTCCTTGAATGTTTCCAATTCCAGGATGTGTGTTGAGTCAGACATAATCCATGCAATGGAACCACCACTCTACACATGCTTCAAAGAAGGCCATCGTCGCTTCCTGCGCAGGGAAGGTGATTGTCTCTGTTTCTGGGCTACAAAAAAAAGCATTGTGTTTATTGACTATCTTCCAAATTGCCAGACGGCCAATGAAGAATATGCCCAAATGCAGTTAAGATCATCATGATCTTATCAAAAGCAAAGACCCATGAAAACTGACGAAAGTGGTGTGGTTACATCAGGAAAATGCTCCCGCTCACAAGACCTTGGTTTCAATGTCTAATTTGCAAGACTGTAGCTTTTAGCTGCTTCATCACCCCCACACTATTATCCTGACTTACCCCCATCTGACTCTCATCTGTTCACAAACATGAAGCGACATTTGACTGGAAACCAGTATGGCAATGCTTTTGACCAACAGGGTGAAAGCTTCTTCGCAAATTAGTTATTCAGAAGCACTAATGGATGAGGTGTGTGAACCGCATGACTATATTGTAAAACAAAAATTTGATCATATTCCATCAAATTATCCTTTGTCAAACTATGAAGGATTCTCGTCCACCTACGCAAACAAAACAGGTTCCCTATACTTTCATATCTAGTAAAATAATTTGATAGATGGTTAGCTATATTTCTATGAAAGGAAAACTCAGTTTTTTAATTTGAAAATATACAATATTATTTTTCATATAATTTCTTATTTTTAACGTTACAAAACGCAGGCTTCATATTAGTGCAATCTAAAATTTAAAAACAAAACATGGTTTTCGATATCTCAGTGAAATATTATAACGATATAAACATTCTTTCTTTATTTCTACACATTTTTATCCTTTCTTAGTAAACACTTCTCTTATATATTTACATTCATTCATTATTGCTCACTTCGATTCGTTTACACTTCTATCCTTTTTGTCACATTTCTGTTACTTTCATTGGACTCAGTATTATTTAAAGTTATTTCTTTATCTATTTCTTTTCCATGGCAGTTTATTCGTTCTTTCTTTTCTCTTATTAATTTCTTTCTTTTCTTCTTTGTTTCTTGTTAATTTCGTTCAGAATGTCTTTCTGTTCTTCATGTCATTGTTTGTTCTTTTTTTAGTTAATTACTTTTCATTTTTAGTCAATGTCTGTTTCTTTCTAATCAAATTCTTTCTTTTTTCCTTTCTTTTATCTAGTTATTTTTTATTTGTTTCTTTTTCTAATGAATTTTTTTTCTTTCTTTTTCATAGTTAATTTGCTTCTTTTTCTAGTGAATTTCTTTTTTCTTTAATTTTTCTAGAGAATTTGTTTCAAATCAATTTATTACTTTTTTCTTTCTCTTTTAGTTAATTTGCTCCGTTTTCTGGTCAGTTCCTGTCTTTTTTTCTTCTTTCTTTTTTTTTTTTTTTCTAGTTAATTTATTTCGTTTTCTAGTCAATCTATTACTTTTTAGTTTATTTTTCTTTTTTTCTTTCTTTTTTCTAATTAAATTATTTTTGTTTTTTTTCTTTCGTGTTTTGTTTCTTTTTTCTAATTAATTTGTTTCTTTTTTCTAATTAATTTGTTTCTTTTTTATCGGCAATTTCGTCCTTTTTCTTTCTTTTTACAAGTTAATTTTTTTCTTTCTTTTTGGTCAATATCTGTCATTTTTTTCTTTCTTTTTGGTCAATATCTGTCATTTTTTCTTTCTTTTTGGTCAATATCTGTCATTTTTTTTTCTTTTTGGTCAATATCCGTCATTTTTTTTCTTTTTGGTCAATATCCGTCATTTTTCTTTCTTTTTGGTCAATATCTGTCATTTTTTTCTTTCTTTTTGGTCAATATCTGTCATTTTTTCTTTCTTTTTTACATCTGTATCTTTCTTTCTTCTCGTCAATCGCTTTTTTTATTTTGGTTTATAATATCTACTTTACATTGGTTTCGTACTTGGCTTTGATCTCTCCTGTTGTACTACGTTTTATATTCATCTCACATTAAAAAAAGAAAAGGAAATCGTCCCTCGCCATAAATCAGAAGTTAATAAAGTCTCCCTCCTTCTTATACGTTTCCCACATCCTCCATACCATATGGCCATCTTTTTTATACTTGTTCCTTCACTATTAATCCAACAACCAGAACATATTTTCAGTTCATTACCATCAGACAAGCATCTTCATTTCTCCCGCTGGTCTTCTTCGAGACTTTAACAATGACTTAACCTATGGATTCGATTGTTTGTCTACAGGCCAAACCATCAACGTTGGGCATTCTTTTACGTCCCATTAAATAGATTATATTTTGACTACCTTTTTATTATTTTCAGTTAACAGAGGAATTAGAAACAGTAGCCTAATCGATGTTTTGGAAGGCAGGTCAGTCGTTGGAGATCGGTTTCAACATATGGAATAATTTTACCAGGAGTAGGCATTGATTTTCACGATTATTAATCTTTTTCGAATTCGCATGCCAGAAGCTGCTGCCACCATTTCAACTGCAAAGAAGAATCGAAAGCCAAAAATGTGCGAAATAAGGGAAGAAAACGGGAGTTAAACGGAATAATGCAAGGAATTACATTAATATTTAAATTAACATGTATATTAAATATATTCCTGTAAATATATGTGACACATATTTCATTATTAAATAAATGCAAGAGACACATGAATATATGCATATACATATATTTATAAATATGTATGTATATAAATAAAGATATATACATGAATATGAAGATATATATATATATATGAATATATGAAAAAAAATATATATAACAGAAATGAATATATATATATATATATATACATTTAATATAAATATATACATATATACATTAATTATATATATATATATATATATATATGTATATATATATATATATATATATATATATATGCATGTGTATATATTATATGTGTATATATATATATATATATATATATATATATATATAATTAATATGAATACACACACACATATATATATATATATATATATATATATATATATATATATATATATATATATATAATTATTTAAAAAATAATAACATAAATATCTTATAAAATCACTACAGAAATAGCCATTTTGTTTCAACATGCCTGGTGTCTTGATAAGACACCGAGGGTGTTGAAACAAAATGGCTATTTTTGTAGTGATTTTATAACATATTTATGTTTTAATTTTTTTAAAAATAATTGTATGGTTATTCCGTATACACCAATTATATATATATATATATATATATATATATATATATATATATATATATATATATATATATATATATATATATAGGAATATCCATATAAATTTGTTTTCTGAGATTGTCTAAAGCTACAACCTCGGTGTCGGTAGTTAATCATTTCCTTCTTATATATATATATATATATATATATATATATATATATATATATATATATATATATTTTCATACAGTTGGAATTGAGATAACATTAATGAATGATCATTTTCAACCGCGAATTTTAAATTTAAAATCACAGTATTTTCCAAACCGTTTAAGGTTTCAGTTTGTTGAAGAAGACTGGCCAGCTGGGAAAAGAAAGAAAAAGAGACCAAAATACAAGAAAGGCCATGGAGGTATTAAGGAAGCCATAAATTAGTGTAAGATTAGTGATAGTCAGAGGGGACGGAGAGAGGACAGTACAGGAGATGACATAGTTGCAGGAAGTAATGTGGCGTATGTTATCCTGGAGGTATGTTAAGCAAGGAAGAGAGAAGGTGAATCCGATGAACTGACCTAAATCTTTACAGTAAAACGGCTGACGTTTGATTCTCGGAATCCACAGACATTAAAGAAAAAATGAAAAAAAGTAATTTACATAAATTATTATGACATAACCTCAGCAAGATGAAAGAGAGATAATTCAGAATGAGTGGTGTTGAATTCAATTTATCCATATATCAGAAGCTAAAAACTTTGACTATATATGTGCATATACACATTAAGAACACATATGCACGTACAGCCGTACATACGTACATGCGCATACATACATACATATATTCATACGTACATACTGTTATCGGAACCTTCATGGACAAAATAGTCGACGAGTTGACTACTGTACTTAACCATCAGACGGACATGCAAAACGTCTGTATTCGTTATTTTTGTTAATAATACGTTTCCACTGAATTGCTGAGTTCGAGTTTCCTTTCGGACCTCTTCCGGGTCCACAACATATACACACATATTTATATACATATACCCAACCAACATATATCTACATATAAACATATGTTACAATAAAACATTTTAATTTATCCTTCGCATCCAAATCTACGTATGTCCAATTAAACTTATATTAATTAATAACTACACATCCACAAAGAAGAAACTTAATGTTAGTAAATTGTTTTATATGTCTTCAACAAAATTATGAGGATAATATGACATTAGAATTAAACATTAAAATGTTTTACACTAAATTTTACACTAATTTTTTTAAAGGAAAATTTACATTAAGAAAAAATTTCCGTTTTTTCATTTTCCATTTGTCAAAACTAACTCTAAATATTAAATTTAATCAAGCTCAGTCGGTACTAAGTCGGTACTGAGGACGTGCAGAAATTCCCATATATATATATATATATATATATATATATATATATATATATATATATATATATATATATATATATATACTCCTGATCAAAATGTAAGACTACTTGATTTTTTTAAAAAGACTGTTTTTCATCGAAAATTTTAAACATTTCTTACTTAAGGTTACTAATTTTATAATCTAAAAGGTTATGTAGACAAAAAGTTATAAACCGAAATTGAAATTTTTATAAAATGAAGCTTTTTCTTGGACCAACCTTGATTGTGATTTGACCCTTCGCACAGAACTCTTCACAAAATGAGTCGTTTTACACTTGATCAAAATTAGAACACCAGAGACAAAAATTCTACGAAATTGTGCGAAAATATTCAAAAACTAAATTTGATAATGAGTTCTACCTCCACTGATTTTGATAACTTCAAAAATTCTTTGGGGCATGCTAGAAATTAGTGTTTCCATTTAGCTGCGAGGAATATTGCTCCAGCTTCTGAAGATAGCTTCACAAAGTTCATTTTTTCTTGAATAGTGTTTGCCATTCCGATAAAAATCTCATGCCATCCATCCTCAAACATTTTCAGTTGGGTTCAAGTAGGTCAGCATGCAGGATGTCCCAAGAGATGGACTCCATTTTCTTGCAGAGAGGATCGAGGTCCGGCATGCAGCGTGGATTGTAGCATTATCCTGTTGGAATAACCAGCCATCCCCACACAAACAATGACCCACCTTCACCAAGGATGCTTTTTGTAGCATGTTAACATAACCAGACGCCGTCTGACGACACTGCACCCACCTGGAGCTCCATCGTCCCTCTGTAAGAAAAGGCACCCCAGATTATTAGGGACATTCCACCACTATGACGTGTGGAGAAAATTTCAGGAGGCATGTTTTTGTTATGCCAATATAGTTGGAAGCCATCAGGACCATTTAGATTGAATATTTTCTCAACAGAAAACAGGACTTTCTTCCACTTCTCAATATCCCATGTTTGGTAGTCACGACCAAACATTAAACGGTTCACTTTGTGACGGAGAAGCAGCCGAGGAATTTGTTTGCGCTTTTTATTTACCTTGCTTTTATATTGTAAGTGTCGTCTGATGGTTACTGGATTGCAATCGGCATCTGTGGTTGCCTTAATTTGACTAGAAGAAAGTCCACTGGCTTTCACAACAACCCGCCTTATTATCCTAGTCAATAACGGAGAATTTTTTTTTGTGGGGGGGGCTACTAGTCGACTTTGCGTTTCCATAATTCGTATAGTCCTTTAGAAAGTTGCAAATCACAGTTTTACTACGACTTACCTTAGCTGAGATCGCCCGATGTGACAAACCTTGTTTATGGAAATCCAGAATTCTAGCAGGCTCAACCTGGGTAAGTTTGCCTGCGTTAGTCATGTGTCACCTTTACGCAGTGATGGCTAATCTCTAACTGAAGTACAAACATTGGAATTACCCTAGATCTAACAATTTACACCCCTTGTTCTTGTAATTTGTAAAACACCTCATTTTATAAAAATGTCCATTTCTGAATAAATTCATCGGATCATAACCTTTGTCTACATAACGTTTTAGATTATAGAATTAGGAAGCTTAAGTAAGAAAAAATGTTATAATGTATCCATGACAAACAGTCTCTTATTAAAAATTTCAAGTGGTCTTAAATTTTGGTCAGAGTATATATATATATATATATATATATATATATATATATATATATATATATATATATATATATATATATATATATATTTATTTAAAAATATGATTCCAACACGCTACATAAGAGTCCTAATGTTTCAAAACAAGAGCCGAAAACTTCAATATAATTATTTGAATTAAATTGAATTAAAGTGCTAAGCTCTGTTCCATCTTCAAGCGATTTTTTTTGGAATTCAATTTGGAATTTTGATTCGAAAAAATTTTCGGTTGAAGATGGTCTTGAGCGTACGAGCTTTGTACAAATTGTTGATCATGCTAGATAACTCACTCTTTCCCAGAAACTGTAACTAAGTTCTGATCAGCTAACCTGAACAACGATTTCCTACTGTCTTTGAAATATTCACTGCTAACCTCTGGATTCTATACTCGAAGACGACCGTCATCATGAACAACAAATATCTGTCTATATTTCTGCGATGATGTATTTTAATTATTTACACAACTTACATTGTTCTGAGTGTTGTCCTCTTTTTTGTTGGCATATTCAGGTGATTGGACTTTCGAACAGAGTCCTTTATTTAGTCCCCCGAGGAAGATTGTTCTAGTTCAACGTGCCATGTCTCAGTACCATTTATCTCCCTTTAACTCAAATCTCCATGTTTTTTTTTCGCCTCTACTGTAGCCAGGTATCGAACTTAAAAGCCTTTGGTTCAAGT